CAACTGCCCACTGTGAGATGGGGTATTCCACAAGACCATTTGAGGTTTCCTTGCAGTATTTATAGAGATATTTATATTATATTTCTTGTTTGATCCATACTGTACCCATTCCATGGACTGTCATGGAAAAAGTCAGCACCAGACTTGTGTATCTGCCCAATTCTCTGGCCTGCACTTCCTGGCTTTTATAAACAGGGTTTCTTAGTCACACATTGTACTGTCTCCAGGTAAAAGATCTTTCTGTAAAAATAGACTGATGGGGATTCAAGCACATTCTCTTGGTCTCCCCTACATGAATTTCCCCCCTCATCAAGTGGAGCATGGGAGACCCTTGCCACGTATCAGCAGTGAGGAAAATCCTCACTAATTGGGACCTAATTGCTGGAAGTAGAACAAGGGGCCCTTCTACAGATAGAAGTAGGGTTGGGATGTTTCTGGAGCAGAGTGCAGTTCACCCCACATACATACACATTAGATATATTGAGTAGATGAACCGATCCCCATACAACATTGGTGTATTACCCACACACCCTACTCCCACAGCAGGCAAGGGGTCCATAATGACTGATGGTTGAGTAGAGGTTATATAAGGATCCATAATGACATATTCCAATGCAGTGCCCTCCTCCTGCAGCTGGCATGGGGCCCATAGTGACTGATGGTCAACAAGATGAGCACAGATACTTATCACATGTGACCTTCTTCCACAATTCGTTTTGACACATCAAGTCTAATGGCTGAGGAAGTGAGCACACAAGGTATGGTCTAATTAAGCCCCAACATAACTACTCATATTGGCTGTTTGACAGCTGCCTTCTGAAGGGAGCTTGATCTAGGTAATCTTTGCATCAGTCCCTCCATCATCTCACGCTATCTGTGTATGGAGGTGAGTATTTGTGTTGGAAGTTATAATTTTCTTTATCTGAATATGTATTTCTAAGAGGTTCTCACCTCTGTACACGTGCCCACCCATCCTCCTAACTATCCTGGTGCACCTTTCTTTATTGTCTCATCAAAGAATGCAGGCTCTTGTGTGCGAAAGTAGAGGGATTTATTTGTACATGGAGATGTGTCACACTCATGTTGTTGGAAGGTTTTGCTGCATGTTATGTCATTATGTAGTAGGACAAGTTCACATGGGTACACATGAAATTAGATGGGAGTTTTCACAAGGCTGGAAGCATGCAAATTTCTCAGGCAGAATTCATGAACTCAAGAGGTATCTATCAGAAATACATTTTCAGGTAAGGAAAAATGTTAACAATCTGTTGTTAACAAAAAAATCAGACTTTTTAATAAAGTATTTTTACTAAAGAGTTGTCTGTGAATTTATTAAATCTTTAATGAGTCACACTGACTCAGACTCTGACTAGTCTTGAGTGCAAGGTGATTTTCTTGTTAAGAATTAAAACACCTTTTATATTTCATAACCTCTAGAACGTTCTAAATGAATATCAAATTATTTTTTTTTGTAAAACTTTATATTTGATTTGTTATTTTCTCTACTGTAATTTTAATTACAGTGAAATGAACAATGTACAGTGAAACAAAAAGTTGGAAAATATGAAATATAATGAACAGTAGCTTTTTTTATTCATTGGATAGATCATTTCACTGGATTGATAGTCTTATTATTTTTGCAGTTTCAACTGTTAACCTTTTCACATCTATGTTATCTAATTTTGCGGTTTATAGCTGTAGCTAGTATGCAGTTAAACAGCAATACTCTCATCAAAAGCAATAAAATCAAAGTGGTAGATCATATGCACATATCATAAACACCATGAGCAAAGAATATGACCTATGTGGTCTTTTCAAGTGCAAACTGTAACTGTGTTAGGCCTCACTTTTTTCAAATAGAGTCGTAGTTTTCAAATATGCATTTTAGAACAAAACATATATCAGACACAAGTACAGAATGTCCAAAAACTACTATAATTTAACTGGTTTACTAACTAAGGTATGAATAGGTTAAAATAAATTCAATTTGCTACTTGAAGCTGAATTGAAATGATTTCACATCAGCCATTTAACACAATTGTTTACACCTGCCTGCCAAAAATGAATAACTGTAATAAGATTCTATTAGCAAAAAAAAAATCAGTCTTTCTGTTGGTTATGAACATACCCATAAGTAAATGTGATATAAATAAATTTGTTCAAAGCTGTGATAGGATGGGAGGAGCTTTAATGATGGGTGTCCACATATATATATATATATATATATATATTTGTATATCAGCAAGTTGAGAAGATAGTAGTTTCACGTTATATTTTCTAGCCAAATAGTATATGTAATTTCTGTTTCTAATTGATTGTATGCCTAAGCAATCTATTATTGATGCTACAAAATTCTGAAAGGGAGAAATCAAAGCTTGAACATTACAAGATTCAAAATAGTGATGATTGAGAAGTTTTTAGATATTTTCATTTGAAATTAAGATATTAAAACTTAAATAATATTAAAATTTAAGTTATAAAATATGTTTTGATGCCAAGTTTATTGATTACATTAATAATATAGTTGTTTGATTAAATGTTGAATTTACCTTTGTAAAAGGTCATGACATGCACTTATGTTTAACAGGAAAAAGCTGTTTTCTTGAACAGGAATCTTGCACGTCATGAGGCATATTCTGGAATCTCCTGGCACATGTGTCCTAATTCCAACATTCTGGCATTTAACTTACAGGTCTTACACCTGATGTAAAGACAAAAAAATCTTTGGTTGGTCCAGATCTTTTAAGAATTCCACATTCCAAAAGTGGCACTTTGTACATGTTAACTTGATGGAAAATGATTAGTGTGTAATGTAGTCTGTATAAACTCCACAAGATTCCTTAAATTTGAAGCTAGTTTAAATGACATACTCCTTGCACATGGGCACCTATATTTTGTCAAATTTCTTTCAAAGTTGCTCAGATTTTTAACAGTTGTCCCAGAGATTAGGGGCATTTTTTCTAGTTGAAGTAAAATAAATATCTTTACTAATAATGCTATTAGTATAGGAAAAACATGTTTCAAATTTCAAAGTGCTCAATTTTCCATTAAAAAACAGTAAATGTGCATGTGTTGTCATGGCCTGTAGTAAAAAGCTCCATCTAATGGTATTAACATAAATATTTCTACGATGAAGGGAAGTACTCTGTCGTAATTAAAAGTAAACTTGATAAATTGGATAAACAGAGTAAAATTTAATGAAAGCACAATGTTTCACCAGGTTAACCTGGCATCATCAGGTACATCAACTGCAACGAATGCATTGAAACTACAAATATATATATAATAATTCAAGGGTACATTGAACTTTGATTGGGTAAATTTAACAATAAGGTATGATATTTCCGGAGGGTGTTTACTGATAGGGCTTGACTTCATGAGGGTCAATGTGAATGATTGTGGCTTACACGTACCCTGGAACTCATACCATGATTCTTCACAAAAATTAGGCATAATAAAAACTCTATCATTCAATGAAGACAATTTGCTCCAGCAATGAACATTTACAATCAGATCTCAAACTGCTGAAAAATGAATTAACACTCCAGAACGATTTCCCACTACAATCCGTAAACAAGGTCATCTCAACACTAAAAAAGAAAACATTTGAAGCCCATGACAGGTCAGTTATAGAGGAACATCCCATTTATTGCATAATTGCCTTCATCCCAAAGGTTTCACATTGCATCAGAATGTATTGGAAAATAATTGTGAAAAAATATTATATTAATTTACCAGTACAATTTGTTTTTCTTCCCGGCAGAAAATTAGGTCAAATTTTATCAAAAAAATACAAAGGTACTGATACATCATGTTCCGTATACCAAATAAAGTGTGAAAATTGCGACAAAACTTCCATTGGAGAAATCTACAAGCAAGTACCCACCCGAGTTAAGGAACATTACAAACTGCCTTTTCATGTCCATGAACATATGTCTAAGTATGGTCATTCATTTCATCTTGATAATGTTAAACTTTTTAGCAGAAAAAAAAATATAAACCATCGTCAAATTAAAGAAGCCATGCTTATAAAACAGTTTATGCCTAAAATAAACAAGTATTCTGGCACACAGTTGTATCTATTCTAACTTTAATTTAACTATGTTGATGTTCAAAAAGGTTTTTTATATTATATTCTGTGAATCACTTTACCTCTATTTACAAATTTCAAGTTACAGTATTTAA